TACACTGACGACCATTGGTCATAGCCGAATTGGGAGGCTTGACTTTTGGACAGGCCGTTGAAACAAAGAGGTAATGTAAAGCCCTGGTACCCCCCATGGATGGCACGCGCCAGTGTGACAACCACCGCACGCCATTTGGCGGGCAGGGCGCGCATAAGACTGGCCCAACGGCGGGGCAGGAGGAGGCAGAAACGGCGGCGCAAGGACGTCCGCAATAGCGGCCGGGCGCAAATGTCCCCGTACCGGATGGTACTGAAACACAGCACGCTCCACATAGCGGTCGAACTTGCCCGGTTGATCAAGGATAGCAGCACGGTCCTCCATTTGGTGCCACTGCCCTTCACGAAGAATCCAAGTCGACCGAAGGTAGCGACCAGGCGGCAACGCGGAAGGCGGCCCCCGCAGCATGCGCGGGAACTTGACAACCAGGATGGGGTCCACACTGTCATGTTCTTGCAAGCCTTCCTTACTCGACAAGCCAGCGCGATACAACACCTGAGGAAGGATCGGCGTCTGCGTGTAAGGAAAACAGGGCACTTCGCTCTTGAACGAGTAGTGCTGTTGACCCTTCTCATCCGTGCTCTGGGTATGAGTAGGGCGCATCAGATCCATAATCTCTTGGGAGCCGATGAGGGCCGGCGGAAAAATGTTGATAAGTTGACACGCATGTGTCCAGGATACGGAATCCTTGAACGATTTGGTGTGTATGTCCGCCGACATCTTGGCAGTGACCTCATAAGCAAGAGAAACGTAACCCTCCTGAAAGATAGAGTGCATCCAGCCAATGCAGATGCCGTGGGTACGCTCCAAATGACGCATTGTCGGATTCTTGCCCGTGCGAATCACCCCGATCATGGTCTGGTTGTCGTCGTAGAAGACGAAGTTGGGGTCTTGACCCCCAAGCTGCTGCCACAACGTGATAGCAGGCAATCCAAGACGTGACATGGCAAAGTCGGCCGCGACAATCTCGGCCTCAGGTGTGGAATGACTCAAGCACCCCTGCCTTTTGCTAAGTCCCGCCAAGGGAAATCTTGTGTGAGAACCTTGAATGTGCAAGTGAGCACCGGAGGTAGATTTCAAACTTTCTCCACAACCTGCATAGTCCGCATCTGCAAACAGCCCGATGGACGAGTCCTCCAAGGAGTTCCCGACCCATCCAATCATCATGTGATGTTTGGACTGGTGCACATAGGCCATGAGATGATGAAGAAGAGCATCCTCCTTCTTGGTCCATTTCGTGATCTTGCGTGCGAGATTGTTGATACTGCGCAGAAGATCAAAGCGGCAAATGCGCGCGGCATAAAGCAATTTCATGAGAATGCTCGCTGCCTGCGGAGCAAGTGCACCGCGATTAGCCTCGTTGATTTCCTCTTCCTCTGGCGCCTTGGGAATAGGTGGAGGCGGAACAAGCCGACCATCCTTATCAACAGGCATGGTGTGTCCACACCACGTGCATCGATGGCTTTTACCTGACTGTGCCGGAGCGCGAGCTGGGTGATTCTTAGTCTCCTCAGCCGGACTCGGCGATGGTACCGTCTTGAATTTTGTCGGATCGAACCCAGTCACGTCGCAGTACTTCTTGACTGTCATGTCCAGGTACGTCTCCATGTCGTAGGTAACGGTCTGCACCTTCGTTTTGTCATGCAACGTTGCCTCGCCCTTGGAGATGCGACAACCTAGATACAAACCTAGTGGCGTTTCTTCTTCTAATCGAAGTTCTCGGCGCAGCATGTCCCAACCCTTAGGCAGATTCTCTTTGGGCCCTGCCATCTTGAGATCATCCACGTAGATGACAAGTAAGAGCTTCATCTGCGGGTGGAAATACAATGATGGCCATTCGTCGCCAATCGGCTTGAATCCTACTTTCTGTACCGCGGTATGGCAATGTTGTTCCCACATGGTTCCTGCATCAGGATGTCCATATAGAGCTTTGATCAAGCGACATACAGGTCTACGGAATTTATGCCGTTTCGCAGATGGATGCCAGGCTTCATCAGGCAGTTCAACCCAACATGGAGTGCCCGATAACCTCGCCTGAATGTAGGCTTGGATAGCATCCGCCATCTGGACATCGTTGCCAGGGAGGCATCCGTAGTAATCTGCCCACCGTGAGGCGTCAAACGTAGCCGGGGAATTCCCCAAATCCTGAAACAACGCGGCTTCCATATTTTGATCTTTGACCTGATCACCGAGTAGTACGCCTCGCCCTTTGAACTTCCTGGCAGGATCGTCCTCTTTGAGCTGATAGTTCTTCTCATATATCAGTCCATGTACTCGCGCCATATGTACTTTCTCACCTTTCTTCTTTGCCTCGGCGACGACGTCGTCATATTCACGCGTAGTTGAGAAATCAAACACCTCTTGGTCCCACAATCCCTTCCATTCTTTCATGAAAGCTTCCATGGCCTTGGGGTTGTTGACCATCTCCTTGCGTGTGACGGGTCGAGTGACCATGGCATTGAAGCATGATCCTCCTGCATGATTCTTTTCCCGATGTACGTTTCTGTGAGAAGTCGTACACGGCATAGACGGAATCCAGTTATCATCCATGACCATATGCGCCGGAACGGCCGGCACGACATCTGCCAAGAATTGTTCTTGTGTGTATTGATCCACATAGGGCTGTGCCCAGGACCACCCATCGTCGTCGTCAATGGACACGTTAAGTTGCAGATCAATTTCTTCACATGGAACGATCTTGGGAAGGATCATGTTGTCCAAAACCTTGGTGACTATCTTCTTTCCTATCGCGGCCTTCTTCCGGTCCTTCTTGGCAACTCGAGCTTTGTCTCGCTTTTCTTTCTTGTACGCTGCCTTCTTCTCTGCTTCACTCATTTTCTTCCATGCTTCCGGAGAATAGGAATGGATAGGTCGCCGTGTAGGGAGAGTTCGTCGACCGTCGCTTCGGATCTTGTATGGGACTCCCCTTTTATCGATCTTGCAGGCTTCACCATCATCGGTGAGATATACAATGCCGTCCCCTTTCTTCCCTGTACTCCAATGCTCGATCTCCTCAGGAGCCAATTTCTTTTCTTTCAAGATCTTGATGATCTCTCCAGGTTCTTCGATGTCTCCTTCGGGGATGAGTCTACCGGTTGGACCGACTTCGCGGAGCGATCGCCGATCTTTCCCAGTGACCTTTGGTTCAGAAGGAGGCGGTGCTGCACGTAGACCTAGCTCTTCGTCTAGTTCGTCGAGTCTTTTGTCTCCTATGGCATCAATGGCTTCATGTTCTGCTGACTTGAAGACTTCGCCAGACGGCTCCGTCTCTATGTCAGATGGATCTATGTCCTGCAAATCAGGGTCTTCTCCGGGATCCGGTGGAGGAAGTAGACCGTCTTGATCATCATCATCCCCGTTGCCACCATTTCCTCCAGGCGGACCGTCATCCCCGTCATCGACGTCTTTTATCTCCTTGCCAGCGAGGTCAACATTGTCCCTGAGTCCCTCAATGGTTGAGTTCATCCTTTCGTACTCAGCTTTCAGGGGAAATGTTATCTCCTCTGGGAAGTAGATAACCTCTGTCTCGTACGGTCTCATCAACTTCCTGGGAACAGATGCGTCCATCGACAAGTTCGCATTGGCAAACTCCTTCATATCCCATACGCGATACTTCTTGGACCATCCTTGACCAGCAGTGATGATGTATCCGGCAAAAATGCCTGGGATCCCCTTTGGATCGAACTTGTTGCCATATGTCTTCGGCCTTGTATCCGTCGGCTTGAAGAAGACTTTGGCCCCAAATGGTATGGCTTTTCCCTCGAAGTCCTTTCCAGTCATTCGTTTCCATGCTGAATCACCATCGCCCTCCACGTCTTCAATGTTGAGGTTCTGCATCACGCAATTCAGCGCAAAGGACCAGTATTGGGCGGGTAATCCGGCGTGTAGCATGGATGCGGCGACCGTGTTGATCACTTCTTGATTTGATCGTTCAGCGAGTGAATTGTTACTGGGTTTCCCTGGAAGGGAATGATCTATCACGATCTTCAACTGCGCCATGGCTGAATCGAACTCTGGTGCTTCATCACTGTACGCCATATGAATCTTGCGTCTCCCCATTAGGCGTCTGATGGCCATGACAACCTCGTCAGTATTCCTTGAGGCCGTGGGAATCGCTGCGATCATTTTGGTGGCGATGTCTCTGATGACTAGAACTTCACGTGCTCCGTCATCGAGTCCGATGCCTGCTTCGGCGGCTTTGCGCATATCGAGGAAGTCGAACGTTACGAGATCCCCCCAGTGTTTGATCACACGTTGATTGGAGAGACGTTGATGGGGCTGGTTAAAAGGGGTCTCAAAGGAACGGTTACCCAGGACCTGCTAGCCATGAGGGTGACGCTTTGTGAGCTCGGATGCCTGTGAGGATGCGAATATGGCCATAGGACTGCGCGCTCAAAATTTTGTGCAAGAAGCGTTGTCATACGAAGACTTGTTCTCGTAGCTTCAATTACGGAGGCTTCCTGTAACTACAACAACACTGACCTGAAAACCCTTGAAAACACCCAAAGTGTAGCTGCAAGTGGCCAAACTTGTTGAGTTCCGAAGCTGAGACGGTCGAGACTGCGAGTCTGCTCTTGTGCCTGCTTAAATGCTGCAAGCAAGAAAAGAGGGGCCTCGGTGCAGACGTCCTGTTGCAGCACTGCGCTACAACGACGAAAGCTGCTTACAAAATTGTGTTCGCCTGGCCGAAGCAACGACAGTGGGAGCTGCAGAGCTCAGCATCCAAACTAACCGTCTAAAATATCTTTGATACACTCGGAAGGAAAAGCGCTAAGCATCGGGATATTTTACTGTTGAGTGCATACAACAACGTCGGACCGGCAACTGCCTGCAGCAAGCTCCCCATGTGAAACTTGATTGTCTGAGCACCCCGACGAGCCCCGGCATCTAGTGCTTTCCAGAAGAGCTCTTTGCCATGAAGCAAGAACCCCGTCAACATCTTCACCTAACATACATTTTGCAGGATTGCTGCTCGAGTAGAGTGGGCTTCGCAGACCTGGCTAGCCGAGAACTTCAGGGTAGCTGTGCGGGCAGGCTTCGCCTCCGTTAGCTTCGTGAGTCCGCCAAAGCCATTGAAAAACTAAGTGGGCTGCCTGATCGCAAGTTCGAATGTCACCATAGCTACGGCTACAAGTTTTCTGCTGTCCTTCGCCTGCCTTGGGGTAGCGACCTGTCCACAAAGTCCCATGCTGGTTGACGACTTGCGTAATGGTGGAACCTGCAGGAATGTGCTGCTTGAGGGTCTTCTCCTGCCAACTCCACTCGCCTTTGCTAGGGCCAGTTCTGGGTTTCTTCGCAGGCGGCTCTTCCGGCTTGCTGCGAGCAGCAATGTGGCCCATGTGCCTCTGGAATTCCGCCTCGTCCAGGTATTTCTTTTCTTTGAGCCATCTCAGGTTGCTAGCCTTCGCAGATACTCCAGCTATTTCTTCTTTCTTGAACTTGGAAACCTCGGCAGCATCAGAACTGTCCAAAGCTGCGGCAGTGAGCTCCGAATTCTCACCTTGAATCAGTAAGCTGCTGGTTCTCGCCTTGCGCAAACCGGCTCTCTGCAAGATGATGGCCGCAACTTCATCTTTGGAAAGTGCAGGAAGAATGTGCTTGATCAAGGCCTCGATCTTTGCCAAGACGTTGCGCGGGTGGTCCTTAGTTGGCATCTGCTGAAGGACCTGCAAGTGCGCAATCATCTTTGACAAGTAGTCGCTTGTGACGCCACTGAACCCCTCTCGCGCCGCCGCCTGCCAAAGAGACATCGCCGGACCAGACTTGACGGAGACGACACCCAGCAGACCCAGCGTCCCTTGGAAGCATGCTCGAACAACATGGGGTGGCAAAGGCACAGTTGGCAACACTTCCCAATCTTCATCACTGCAGACGGGAACCCATGAGGCATTGCTCCCTGTAGCAACGTCGGGAAAGAAGACGCAGACGCCCTTGCCGCTTGCCTGCTTCGCCGGCCAAAGCAACACAGCGTGAGGCGAGCTCTTGAGGACGATGAAAAACTGAGAGCTGGATTTCTTTCTGACAAAGTGGTCCTCTGGCATGAGCAACGCATGCCAAGCAAGAGGAATGCTCGCGGTTTGATTTCTTTCGCAACAATCCACCAGCAATGCCCAGCTACCGCAGTGGAGCTGGCAGCTCTGCGCACTTGGGGACGGGTAATCAGTGCCGCTCTTGCGGATGATCTGCTGCAGCACCTTGTTCTGCAAACTGCATTCAGAAGACATTGCATCCCAAGTCTGTTTTGGAAGCCTGTCTGTGTGAGCACCTGCTGCCGCGTCGAAGGGTTGTACCTCTGGCAAATGGAACTCTTTCAGGAGGTCCGATTGAATACATTCATACATACGCTTTGGTCTGGACTTCATGCCGTTGTTCACATCGCGGCTGAAATCTTTCAAGTGCTGAAACATGTTCTCCACATGCACGGTGTGGTTCGGCCCATTGAAAATCGCACGCACCAAACTCAGGGCTGGCGCAGGAACGCACTTGAAGTCATGCTGGGCCAACATGGTCAGGACTTCTCGGCACACATCATTTTGCAACCACGGTATCTGCACGAGCACTTGCCGCAATTCGGGTTGCGTGAACTGCAACTTCTCGCATTCGAGCAAGGTGTTCCAGTTCTTTTGCTGCATCTGCAAGGCTGCTTCTCTGTTCGCTTCCTCATTGGCTAGCAGGCCGATGAACTGAAACGGCGGCAACCCTCTCCACTGAGCCATGGACATGGACCGGTGCTTGCACAATTTGCATGTCAAGTGCCACAGCTTTGCTGCTTGAAACTCGTCGAAAGCATCCTCCGGGAGTGGCTTGAAACAGAAGTGGTCAACAAGACCTGGAGACTGCTCGTTGCTGCCGGAGGCTTCAAGCACGGGCATGTCCTGCTTATAATGGTGCATGCTTGCTTTGTGGTACACAAAGCCCATGTGCTCCAACGAACTTTGCTTCACGAGCACCCGCCAAAGGCTGCACAACGGCAAGCTGTATTGAAAGAGGTGGAAAACCATCTGCATCTTGAAGGTCGTTTCTGGCTTGCCTGCGTGCTTCACCTCCTTTGAGAAAGCTGACCACAAGGGCCTCAAACACTCCAGGATCATACGTGACAGGCGCTTCAAAGAAGGCTGCCCGATCAAGTAGCAAGCGAGCTCAACAGCATTCCGGCAATGTATGCTCTCTGCAGCTTCTTGCTCACTCTTGGCCTCTTGCATTGTGCCGCTACCTTCGTTGACAGGGGGCTTCTTCCTCTTGAGCTTGTGCGTGTTGATGGGCACGTCGAAGATTGGAGCTTCTCCGATTGAGCTCCACAGACCGCTGTGCAAGCCTAAAAGCACCAAATGAAACTGATGAGCATGAAACTCCTTGTCAAACTCGGAAAACTGCGCGCACCACTCGAACCACCGGGTCATGGACACGCGATTCCCCTTGGAGCCGATGTGTCGCGATGCAGCTACAAGGTCCCAGACCTGCTGAATGTGGGCATGGCTGCCGAAGGGCTCCGTGGTCTTGGCTTTGAAATCATCCGCCAGATTCTCGTACAGATGCTGGAAGAGGGGATCGCCAGCATTTGAGGTTGCAAGATGTTGCTCCGACACTTCTTGCAACTGCTTGAACCACGCTGCACTTTTCCAAGGGCCGTGTTTGGTCTGCATGACTTGCAAGGTTTCAAGCACCTGGGTCCAGAGATCTGTTTCCTGTAGGGCAAGTTTGGCATCATTCCAACTACGGTGTGCAGTGTCTCGAAGAAAAACACATCGTACTGCAGCGCCGCCTGACAGTAAATGATAAGCTGCCAGATTCGTGGATGCTTCGTCTCCGGAAAGAACAAGCACGGAAGGCTTGCCTTCCGTCCACTGCCTGGCGACCTCGAAGCGCTTCTTTCCAGTGCTGACGTCCTTCACTGCACTTCGCTTCCAAGGAATGCCCTCGGCAAGCTCAAAGTCACCCCAAGGCTCCGAACACGAGACCATGTACCTGAATTCTCCCGGCAGCAATGGCCGTGAAAACTCTGCACTACTTCCACGTTGGAAATGCTGCAAAGAAAGCCCCATCTCTCGTAATCCATGGTCGATGCCCTTGATCAAGTTCAATGTGGCAGCTGTGGTGTCGTTCAGGCGCTTCTTGCTCTTCGAATGCTGAGTTTTCTCTTGTTCGCCCATGCGTTCCTGCAGGCGGAGGGCACTTTCCAGGGCATCCTGCTGGTCCAGATCTGTGCGGTCCACCAGGCTACGCTTCAACGACGGCAGCACCTGAGCAGCAGGACAATCTGCAATCTACTGCAAGCGTCAGCGTGCGGAGCCTTCGCGCGGTGCGCTGCGCAAAATGTCGAGAGCAGAAAAAAGCGACAATTGTAGCAAATTGTAGCGAATTGTAGCGAAATGTAGCGATATGCAAAAATCCAAAAGACCGCAAATCGACACATTTGCATAACCGCGCACGATGCGCTGCGCAATGTGCGAACGATGCAAGTGTGGAACACAACCTGACGACAACAATCCGCGGGTGGCCCCCTGGCTAATTACATCCCGCCGGGCCTGCAGTGGCATATGCATAGCTTTGCGCTTCTTGTGCTCGAATGCAATGCCCAGCAGCGTCGATTCCGAGGCCACAGTGGATTCGTCAAAAGACAGCGTCAACTGGGAACTCTCAGATGCCACTGACCGGACAGACTGGACGTAGTGTGCTAAGGTCTTGGAGTCCCCATCTGCTGCAGACTGCCGAGTTGCGTCGATCTCGCCACTCCGAACAGCTGCGCCTGATGACCGAAATCGTTTTGATTTCACCATGCCGAAAGAACCACGCACAAGGAGATCACGGTCTAATCGCCGACGTCGAACCAAAGCTTTCGCAGCAGGAAGTTTGGCTGCAGTGTCTCGAAATGGGCAGCCCTCGCCCAAGAACACGGTATCGCATGCAGCACAGACCCTCTGCAGAAGCTCCACAAGCCACTGCTTTGCATCAGCACACTGTTCTCTTGCAAGCCAAGCATCCACAAGAAAACTGGCCGAACTACTCACGTTGACGCCCGAGGCATCCAGTCCCAGCAGCAGTTTATGCACATGCCTGCACTGTGCATGCCCATCCTGTCTGACAGGGCTGCTGCAATCGGACGCCGAGCATGCCGGAGTCCAAGCTGCAGGCCAGTGGTTGTCCCGACTTTGAAAGACTTTCGTCAACAAACCACGCAGGCACTGATATGCATTTTGCTTCCGGACACCGCGTAAAGCATGGCACCAATGCAGCAAATGCATCAAAAACACTAGTGTCGACATGGTCTGTTCTTCCTGCAGGAACCGTTGTTCGGCATCCGCGAGCCCCCGTGCAGCTTTCAAGCTTGGTCTCAAATCACTGCCGTCACCTCCAAAGGAGCATGCAACTGCCGGCCAATCTGGCAGGCCGCCATGGGCTTTGAACCATCTGTGTGGTGGAGTTTTCTTATCGAACCCCAGTGACAGGATGGCTTCACGGCTTTGCCAGAAGACCTTTGGGCCATCCTCGCGCGAAGTCTCCTCGAACACAAAAACTTTCAGATATGCTGCTGGGCAGGGATCCGACTCGCCGAAAGCAAGATAATGAGTCTTGTACGCCATGACATGGTGCGAAGGATCTTCTTTCTAAGACGAACTTTACATGAACTGAGGGTGATTCACAGGCTCTGCTGAAACGATTACAGCATACAATATGTACAAATTACTGTACTGACCTCTCGACGTGTCTGCTGGCAAGCGAAAACAGCCTTGCTCCATGCGCTAGTTCAAGCCTCACGTGTTGTACTGCCAACATCGCCCCTTTCGCAACATGACCTGCTGCCACAAACTCTAAGCGCTCACCACAAGGGCCGAAAGCATGCCGTGGCAGTGCTAAAGCTCAAGAACAGGACTGCCTCCGCACGTTGTGCTTTCCGCTCAGAGTGTAAACATGATATCACCCCGTCGAAGTGATTTCAAAAATACATCAGTATGCGAGCGGCTACAATTCCCTAGGCCAACCTTCCCAAAATTCCTCAATCTCAATACGGAAAGCAACCACGAAATACTGCAACTGTCACGTCCGACTGGGACCTCTTCGCAAAGGCCTTCTTCCTACGATTGAGGGTTCAGGGCTTTCGGATTTGGGTCTCAAATTCGGGGTATGTGCTCACATGCTTGTAGATGACACTACGGGCTCTACGTGCACTAGATACGGAGGAAACTCGAAAGCGGAAGGGTGCTTGCTTCAAGAACAAGTGCGGTTGGAACTTCGGGATAGAGAAGGTTCTAAAGACTGATGTTGTGTTGACTGTCTCGCATGGTGTCCCTGGCTGTTACCGTAAAGTGCTTCAAATTTCCATGGTGCTTGGAATCTTGCTAACCACAACCAACAAAACACACGTAGCATTATCTGGCAATCTACTCCGAATATTGCAACCCTAATCCTGATATGAGCCCTGCGACGTGTTGGAATCCTACAGGCCCGCAGCCGGCTTGGAACTCGGCTTCTCGGCCGTCGTGGCTTTTTGTCGGGATGTGTTGGGGACCAAGTAATGAGGGAAGACTCTTTAGAATTCACGCTTTGACTGGAGCTTCAGGCTTTCGGCTGCAGGGTACTTCGGCTAAAACTTTTGGGATTTGACGTTACGCTAGGAGTTTGGGCCTGGCTATGTATTTTGATACTAAAGAACACAGCAGAGTCCCAGAAAAGCCATACTAGCAGTTAAAAGTTTTTTGCTAGGATTTTTGGGGGTTTTCGCGTCCGTACTCCAAGCTCACACAATCCTTTCACAAACACGTCACACACACACATACTACACACACGAGCACCCCCTCACAACACTTTTAAAGCAAGCTTCGTTTACACTGGCTTCTGTTCTCGAAAGCTACGCAAGGTGCGCCGCAAAACTGTCACCTGAATGAGGTCGGACGATATCTGCTTCGGCAAAACTGAGCTCTGTGACAATCAAAGCTCCTCGTCGTCTTCGTCGCCATCCTCCTGCGGGTCTGCGTCATCCTTGTCCTTCTTGGGATTCACAACGACACTCGCAGCCGCCGCGGCCGCCGACGCTGCTTTCTCGGCTTCGGCATCATTGGGCTCAGGGACGTCCTCTGTCACGGGTTTGATCTCTTCTGCTGCCTTCTTCACCTTCTTCTTTGGTGATGGTGCTGGCTCCTCCTTAATCTCCGGCGCGCCACCGGTGGCACCGAGCTCATTGCTGAGATTGCGCTTGATCGATCTGGCTTTAGGGAAAAGCTGGGACAACGTGAAGACAGACCCTGACTTGAGCAGGATGTGCGCCTCCGCGTGGTTGAAGTTCACCTGGATGCTCGCGTTGCTCATGGTCTTCACGTCCTCGTCCACGAACTCGTCCGGGAGAAAGGCCGCCTTGCCCGTGAACCTCTCGCGAACCTGCACTTTGGACTTCTCGTTCTCCGCAGATGACTCCACATGGATGCTGAACTCGCCGTCCGTGCACCAATCAACCCATCCGTCCTTGATCGTCAGCTTCTTGAAGCGAGACCCACGCGACTGGTAGACCGACTTCAGAGCATCAAACGTTGGCTTCTTTGTGTTGAACTGGCAACAATCCGAGTTGTTCTTGTCTCTGCATTTGATTGCCATACCGAACTCAAACAGCTGCCTCAAGAGCTGCACCGAATCAACCGTGCAGGAATGCAGCTGGAAGACGGACGGCTCCACGTAGTGCAGAACCTCCTGCAGCAACTTCTTGCTCCAATTGGAATACTTTCTGCCACTACGCCCGAGCGAGATGCCCTCAGGGATGTCCAGCATGCACTTTCCATCGCCTGCGTTGTCGTCCTCGTCGTCTTTCATGTCCTTTGTTGCTTTGCGCTTCACCTTGGTCCCGGAGGCTTGAGCTTCAAGATCGTCGATGTAGGCTAAGGTGAGGAGTTGCCACTCGAGCTTTCCCGTCAACTTCTCCCTGATCGTTGCAAGGTTCTTCTTCTCAAGCCCAGCGCTGCCCTTCAAAGGCGAAATCTGCGGCTCCTTCGGAGCCATGGCAGCTGGGTTTCTAACAACAGCTCGGATGGGACTTGGGCAACAAGCATCACCGCACTCGTTCGGGCTGTCACGCCAAAGTAGAGGTGCCCAAGAAGCTGCTACTTTTCTTGTTTGATCTCCGGTGTTCGGTGGATCCGAACGGGCGGGAATGATTTGAAGTATCCGGCCGACGATGCTCACCTATACGAATGAAATCATACATGAGTTTCTCTGTAGTATTCACCAATACAAGACTGCAAATCAACGCGTTGCTTTAGCTAACCACCACAAGCTTCTTACACCGCACTTGGCGACTCTTGGACTGACACTCGCACACAACCTCGGCCCTCCTAGACGATGGACTGCAAAAGATATCTCCACGAACCCTAGACTGCACGAACAACGACAGACTTCCGAGGTACAACGCCTGCAATACAATCATTGCTAAAGACATGCTACACGGCAAAAAGGCACAATTGGACTCAATTGGGGCGATATGGGTGCGCCTGCCTTACGCCCCCATTTAAACGCACCCGTCTACGGCGCTCTGAGTTGAAATGCACCTCGTTGCGTCCGCAAGTGCTTCATCTTCGCGCGTATGCACGATTCGCAATATGGATTGCGGTAGCGATGAGTACACAGATGTGCCAACGTCTTTGCTTCGGCTTTCAGTGTTCCGACTCTGGCCTTGCGGCTCGGCGCACCGTCGCCTTCCACATCAATGATCACCTCATCGTCACCGTCCAATGGAACTTCACCCACTCCTGCTCCTTCGTCGTCCGGCGGTCGTCCGGCCTCGGACTCTGGTACTTCTTCTATAGGAGGTTCCTGGGGTTCAGGGTCAGGAGGTCGTTCATGAGCGTCACCTTCTTCTTCTGCTTCAATTTCGCTCGGTGCAGCTTCAGCGGCAGCTGCGACATTGACGTCAACATCACCCGCGGTTAGCACACCCTTGAAGATTTCGGTGATTGCTTTGGCCTCCGGATCATCATGAACCAGTGACTTGGAACTCCCGGCACGAATGTACGGAATGTCACCGTTCACGAACAGAGATATTCTCTTGCCCTGCGGGTTGATCATGAATGGTTCCCTTCCGGGTGGCCACACAAACCCGTAATTGAAGTTCATGCATCTCTTACCTATGGAAAGCACCGACGGTGTGTCATCCAACACATAAGCGTTGATCGGTTCCTCGAACGACTCAGTCTGGAAGTTCGACACAAGATCGGTATCGGTGATTCCATTTGCTGTCTGAAATGATATGGGCTCTGGAGTCACGAGTGTCTCGAGACTGTGCTTCTCGATCTTCTTCTGAGATATGAGGTCATGGCCACATCCAGTGTCCATGAGAAACTTGATCTTCTTCTTGAGGATGACTGGTTGAACCATGCATTTGAACACGCCTTGATTGATGATCCGCTTGCTGTGCGCAGCGTCGAGTTCACGTTCCACGATGGAATCCTCACCGTCGTAGAAGGAAACCTCTTCCACCCGAGACGTTCCTGGGATCCGTACGAATGAAACTCGATCTCCGCATTGATCATCATCGTCGTCAACCATGTCTCTCATGATCTGTGCCCTCAATCTCGCTTTGTGCTTAGCGAATTCCAAATTCACGGCGCGATCCTCATCGTTGACAAGTGCTTCCATGTCGACGTACTTCACCTTCCGTTCTTTGTCCTTCTTCGATCTTCTAGGACACGAAGAAGTGAACTTCACGTCGTCAGCGAATGTCACGTTGCGCTTGATCTCTTTTCGGGTCGACGTAGTCGGTCCCGAGGATTCGTCGTCAGTTGAACAATCCGAGTCAGCGTCGCTGTCAGCGGATGGACAATCTGACTCTTCCTCATCTTGTCTTGAAGATCGCTTCCATATAGCCGGGGCTGATGGATTCCACCTTCGGCACAATCTAATGGCGGGTGCCGCAGGGAGTGCCTTGGCCTTAGCATTCGGTTTCGCTGGAGCTGCCTTCGCTTCGGATTTGGCTTTGGCTTTCGCCTTTGGTTCCGGAGCTGGGGTAGCTGCGGCCTCATGCTTGAAAGGACAATTCTCTCTTGAGCACGAGCCTGTGTTCTTGAAAGAGTAGCATATCCTATTTCCTCCTCCTCCAGATGGACTTGGAGTTCTCGTCCTCGGCGTAAAGGGTCGCTCTGGAGTCTTCTTCGAGTGACTGAATGGGCACTTGTCACCATTTCGACACCCTGCATCTGTGAAATGGAACTTGCAGCGGATTTGCTTCTTGCTCTTGTCGCCTCTGTTGTCCGCCGACTCACTCCTCGTCTTCTTCTTGGGCTTTGGCTTGGTCTTCGCATGACTCTTCGCTTTGCTCTGAGGTAGTACAGGTGTTGCTTTATCCGGCTTGGTAGGCGAAGCTTTGACCTTTGCGGATGGAGCTGCATTAGGCGTTGGTTTCTCAGGTACCTTGGCCGGCGCAGCGAGCAAATCCTTGCCCTCAAGCATCTGGCGCAAACCAATTTGGGTCTGAGTGAGATTTGATTGTTCTCGTCTCCGCATGATGGTACGATCGATGATCTTCATCAGATTGTCGTACGATCGGTCTTCATGATTGTAGGGCAAGTGGTCATAGTGCATGCCCAAATCCATCTTCATTGCG